CGCCGCCGCCGCCTGCCCGCTCGCCCGCTGTCCGCCGGCCGCCCTCGTCGCGTCACCGCCCGCGGCCCCTCCTCCGCCTTCGGAGGTGGGGCCCCGCGCTCCACACCTGGCTGCGGGGCGCCTCGCCGCGTGCCTCAGTTTACCCCCACATGCCAGCTGCTGCGGAGAGCCCTTTTCTCCCTGGCTCAGAGTGCCCCTCCACAGGCGAAGGCGGGAGGCGCCGAGGGAGCGGCCTCCGGTCCTGGGAGGAGAGAACGGCCCCCGCCGCCACCTCCCCGGGCCCCAGCCACCCGCCGTTGACATGGCAACCGACGGCCGCTAGGGGGCGCGGCGACACTGGAGGCGGCGAGAGAGCAACGCCTGGGCCTTCCAGTCCCGGACCCCCTGTTCTCTGGGAGTCAAGGATGAAGCCCACAGGAGCCCGGTCCCCCATCAGCTGTGCCCGAGCTGGTCAACCCCGGGTCAGTAATTACAAAAATAGCTAGTATTTACTCCGAACCCCCTGTGTGCTCAGGAATTGCTGGGCGTTCCTGCTGAATCCTGAATCAACCACCCAGTAGTCAGGATCACTAACCCATTTTACGGAAGAGGATATTGAGACTCAGACAGGTGAGGTCATTTGCCCAAGGTCAGAGTGACAGCGCTGGGACTGGAACCTGGTCTGTCTGAAGAAGATTCTTCTGAGTCAGGCTGTTTACAGTATGGCCAGGGATATAATAATGGTGCCGTTTGAGGCCTGCTGTCATGCCAGGCACCATGCCCACCACCCATCTTCTCTGACCCTATGCCCCCTTCTCCTGCTCCACCCCTTCCCCAGCATCTTCCTGATAATCTTCCCAGCTCACGAGCCTCTTGATCTTTCCTCCAGCTCTACTCAACAATCAGCCCACAGCAAAGCTGTGCTTTCTACCTCCTCTGTCTTCAGGAAAACCCAAATTGTGACATTGGAGGCTCTTTCCAGCTCCCTCCAGGGCTGTGGCTGCAGGACTCTTCCTCCTGTTGTTTCCTAATTCCCTGGACCTTCCTACCTGCAGTGTGGTACCCCTCAATGGCACCCAGTTTCCTGTCTTATCCTCCATGGCTTGGCCTTGCAGGTCTGGTGATCCTGGTGTCCCAAGAGACCCTGTTGGGGGGGGGGAGGCGGAGGCTCAAGGGTCAGCCAAGCAGCAGTGAGCCCCCTCCTGAGGGGAGTGTGAGGCCATCAAGTGTTTTAGGCAGTCAGGAGACATGTCAGGGAATGATCTGGGATCAGCTTCATGGGTACACTGTGGAAGCAGGGAGGCCATTGGCTAAATTGGGGGTGAGAAGGGCAAGGAGGGAAAAAAATAATAACTAGCAATTACAATTTGTTGAGGCAAAATAAATGGTCCAGAGCATACATTCAGCACTTTATGGTAATTAATTCTCACTCAGCTATGTGAGATGGCTACTGTTATCACCTCTCTTGTACACATAAGGACACTGAGACTCAGAGGCAACATCCCCTGGCCAGGGTCAAACAGCTGACTGGCAGCCACATTGGGATTTGAACCAGGTCAGTCTGGCACAAACTCCAAGCACTGAGCCATATCAGGGCCCCCACCCGTTTGGGCTGTGGGCAGAGTTAGGCTACAGCCATAACAGAGCACCGCTGGCCTGGGTATTCTGGATGCCCACGGGGGGTATGGGAGGGGATGGTAGTATTGGGGGCCTACCATGGTTTTGGGTGGCCTCCACCATCAGACTCAGGCTGGATGGGTCCCCTGCCTGTTTCCCACGAGCTCTCCCTAAGTCACATCCTGTGGGCAGACGCCTCAGCAGATGTTCCGGTGTTGTCACCTCCACCCCACCACCCCTGCCCTGAACCCCAACATCCGCCAGTCACTTCCCCTCAGAGCTTTGGGCCCTCCGCTCCCCTTGGCAGAAGCAGTAGGGAACTCTTCAGAAGGCCACCTGCGCCGTCCAGGCATGGGGTCCTGGATCATCCAGGTGGAAGGGCGAAGAAACGAGGTCCTCGCTGGAAATGATTTCTCACTGACTGACTTCTGATTTGCTAGTTTGAGGAAAATGTTTCCTGCCTCCACGGATCAGCTAAGCCTGCAAAGCCAGGCACTGGCCAGTTTGTCAGTTTGCTGACTAACCGACTGGACTCTGTGAGAGCCTCTGGTCCCGCTGGCATTTAACAGAGAAACTGAGGCACAGAGTAGAAGAGGGAATCATTGGCCTGCTGTTTGACTCTGGCCTAGACCTTCTGTTTTCCTCCCCTGAGCAGGGATGAGGTTGGGGGGGGGGCGGGCATAGGGAGGGAAGGAGAAGACAGGCTCATGGGTGGGCTGATCTTGGCTGCTCGTACGTCCCGGGAAGAGAAAGGGGTGCTGGATAGGGAGACAACGGGCAGAGGATTGTAGTGTGATGCTTGCGGCCCTGTAGACCATGGACATTCTGCCCACACCAGCTGGGTGCTGACTCTGTACCCGGCCCTGTGTTGATACGTGTCATTTCCCTGGGGCTTTACAGCTCCCCTCTTAGGAGGTTGCTGGAATTGGGCCCAACTTACAGAAGAGGGAACTGAGACTCGGAGTGGTCACGTGCCCTGCCCAAGGCCACACAACCAGGAAGCTGTAAATCTGGGATTCAGAGCCAGGTCTCTGCTTCCAAAACCCAGGGTCATTCGTCACCAGCCTCAGTACCAGACAACTGGATGGAGCCGGGGAAAGACTAAGACCTATGGCAGGCGTGGGGCCAATACACATGTGGAAGGCAAATTCTCCTCTGAGGGGGCATGAGGTCTGTTTGGAACATGCAAGTGAAGACGCAAGTGAATGTAATATGGGTAATACTCGCAGTATAACTTTTATTTCACTGCCACGGGACGGGACCGTGTGAGGGATGTTGTATTGGTCTCATTTTACTGAAGGGAGAAAACGAGGCTCAGAGAGGTAACACGACTTGCCCAAGATCATGCACGTGGGGTCTGCATGATCCCGCGTGCCTGGGGCCAATGCCTTCGACTGTGACGTCGAGACCTAATGGTACCTGGCCAAACTGGGGGCAAGGGAGTCACAGATGGGGGGGAAAGGGGCAGGAGGGAGGGGACAGAAACCAGAGGAGGGTTCCCTGGGGCACCATGGCTCAGTCTCTACCCGGAGCCCCGACCGCACAGAAGCAAAACTTCCAGCCGGTGGAGGGAAGAGCAGCATTCTGGGTGTGGGTCCAGCCCAAGCCGAAGCCTGGAGGCGCGAAAGCACTTGTGTGTTCAGGGCTGTGGAGTGCGGGCTGCTCTGGGCCGGCCTCCAACGCAGGCTGAGGAGGGCCTGGGGGACAGCCACCCGCCGGCAGGTCCCCAGCCGCACTCCCAACGGCCACTCAAGGCAGCACAAAGGGGGCTCTGAGCTCAGTGGAGCCGCCACACTGAGCCCCATTCATTCTCCCAGGGACGGGCAATTGCGCTGGCGCCCGGGGCCAACGGCGGCAGCAGGGCCTAGCTAGCACTCTCGCTGTACCTGCAGCAACACGGCCTCCCTGTGGCCGGGGCTCCCAGCTCTCCCACCACGTGCCTTCCCCTGGGGTCTTCTTGGCCTATGCCAATCCGCCCCTGGCCTGAACCACCCCCATCCCTCAGCGACAACCATGGCGGGGAGGGGGCGCTGCTGAGGCCACAGTGCACTAGCCTGGGCTCACATTTTCTCATTTCATCCTCCCAGCAACCCCTGGAACTGGGAGCTACTTTGACCCTGTTTCACAGATAGAAACTGAGACCCAAAGTGGTAAAGGGTCTGGGGCAGAGTCACACAGTGAGGCGGGAGTGACAGAAACCCAGCACTTAGCCCAAGTCACTGGGACTGCCTCCTGGGAGAGAAGCCAAGGGGAACCACCCGCTGCCTTCCACGAGGAAGACCCCTCACTACCGCCAGGCCACCGGCCCTATTCTCTCTTCTGACAACTGGAGGAGGGAGGGAGCACCGGCTTGGGAGCTAGGACACCTGGGGGTCTAGTCTCTGCTCCTCCTTAGCCTCAGTTACCTCATCTGTGAAATGGGACAGTACCAGCATTCGCCTCACAGGTCGGTCGTAGGGACTCAACGGACAATCTGTGGAGGTTTTTACCTCCGTGCCTGGCTCATGGTCAGGGCTCAGTAGAGGGACCTTCTCTTCCCAAATCCGTGACCGAGAAACCTCATTCTTTCATGTGAGCTTTGAACACTGTTCCCATCCAGGTCTGTCTGTGAGCAGGACTCTGATGTCTTGATCTCTCAGGCTGTGTCCCTTTTCTCCTCAGGGCCTCGGTTTCCCTCTCAACCCATTAAGAAGGTTCAGTCAGATGCTTCCCCCACCAGGGCCCATCATCCAGCTGCCAGGGGGTTTCTGGAGCTGTAGGAGTGGAAGTTAGGACCTCAGCCCCCATAGCTGGACAAGTAGGCCCTAATGCCAGGTAAGTTGACTTTCGGGGAGCCTCAGTTTCCACATCTGTAAAATGGGGGCAAGAGAAACAACATCTACCTCTTAGGACAGAAGGACTGAGCTTTCTGGCTGGAATGAACTAACTGATCAGAAGACGTTAGTCATCGTTATTTTTGCTGAGGATGCAGGAGGGGCCCCATCTGCCCTTGGACTCCCTCTCTCATAGGCTCGGTTGCCAGCCTGGGGGCCAGGATAATAACGTCCAATCGTGCTGGAGCCTCTGTGAGTTCATTGTGTATCTTGCATTTGTGCCCATTCTTGAGATCAGTTGACTGGGGCTTCAGAGGCAGGAGTAACTTACGCGCAGTACACAGAGCTGGGATTTGAAACCCCTGGCCTTGTGGCCACCCCAACCCCTGCAACTGCTGACAGCCTCCACAGGTGTCTGGGACAATCTGTGTAGGGAAGTTTCATTTCCTCATCTCTGTCTTGCCCGTGTGACACACACACGCACACACGTTGTAGGCTGGAAAAGCATCAGACTGTGGGCTGAGGGGTCTAGAAGGGTGAGATGTAGCCCTGTCTGTGCCACCAACCTGCCAGATGACCTGGGGCGCTCCCTCTGCCCGTCTGTGCTCCAGATCCCCCCATCCCTGTATAAAGGGTGTGGTGGACCAAATTGCCACCGTGTCCCCCTGGATTAAAAAGGAATGATCATGCCTTGGTGGGCACCGATTCTGTGCCAGGCTTCACGCCGAACTGGACCCTGTGAGGTGGGCATTGCAAATACCCCCTGCTCACAGTGAGGAAACGGAGGCTCAGGAAAGTCAGTGGCCTAGCCAGGATTACACGGTGACAAAGTAGCCAGCCAAGATTTGAACTTGGGTTTGGGTGGTCCCCAGGGCCACAGGCCTAACCACAGCACTCTTCACTGCTCCCAGTCCTTCCCCAGGCACCGAGGCTTAGAACAAACTGCCCTGTGGGCTGGCCTGGCTCCCAGCACCCTTCCAGCCGCTGGCCAGACCCCCTGACAGCTGTCAGCGGGTCCCCCCCACAGCCCCCACCCAGTGGGCTCCATTCCCAGGGCCTGTGGTTTGTCCCCCCAGGCCCTCCGGGTCCCATGGGCTTGTGGTCTGCCCCCTGCCCCCCTCTCCCCGCCATAGCCAAGGTCAAGGAGGCAGCCCATGGGGGCCCGGAGTGGGGGAGGCCCTGGCCCGCCCCCGTGGAGAGGATGGGGAGGGTGGAGCTGTGGGAGTTTCACTGGTTTAAAAATACACAGAGGAAGCGAGCGGCAAGAGGGTGCAAGAAAGGGGAAGGGGAGGTGAGGGAAGAACCTCAACGTTGATGTCCGGAGTCGAGAGCGGCCACTTGCCCGCTGGCCAGGGGCTTTACACGACCCACCAAGATGACGGAGGGACCCAAGAAAGCCAGCAGAAAGTTCAGTGAGTGCAGGGTGCCCTTTGCACTGCCCTTCCTCTCTCTGTCCATCCGTCTCAGTCTCTCTCTGCATTGCTTCCTTATCACTGTCTGGTTTCTGTTTCTCTTTCTGTCCATCTCTATCCCTCTCTGGAGTTCTCTGCTTCTGGGTTTCCTTGTCGCCTTCCCTCTGTCACTCTGGCCCCATAGCTCTCTCTGTCTCTAGCTGGTTTGGTTCTCCATCTCTGCTCTGCCAGTCTCTGTTTCTCTGTCTCACCATTTGT